TTTGACAGGATACATTGGGGATATTTATGGAGAACATTAGATAGGTTCAACATACCATCATCATTTATCACAGCAATTAAGGCGTTATATTGCGCACCCTCCGCCCATGTCTCAGCTTCTGGCTTCACATCCAAAACTTTTTCCCTAACCAACGGGACGAGACAGGAGTGCCCTTTATCTCCAATTTTGTTTGTTTTAGCGATAGAACCCCTGGCAGAACTGATTAGGACAACCCCACAAATTGTAGGAATTGCGGTTAAAGAATCCGTTCACAAAATTGGTTTGTTTGCAGATGATATAATCCTAGCTATCAAAAACCCAAAAGAATCTTTGAGACACCTCAAGGATATTTTAACTCAATTCGGTGAGATATCGTATTACAAATTAAATGAGTCCAAAACTCAAGCCCTTCCGTTTCATTTAAACAATTTGGAAACCATTGCCCTTAAGAAATCATATTTATTTGATTGGAGAACTGAATATATGGAATATCTTGGCATTAATTTATGCAAAAATTTGGTTAATATGCACAATCACAACCTGAGGAAAGCATGGTCAGACCTACAAAAAGAGATGGAGAGATGGGGTGGGATGGAGCTCTCATGGCTGGGGAGGGTCGCATCTATTAAAATGACGATACTCCCCAAAATTTTATATTTTTTTAGGACCATTCCTCTGTCCATTCCATTATCATTTTTTAATAAAGTTCATTCGACAATGTTGAAATTTATATGGGGGAACAAGCCTGCCCGAGTGAGGCTCACTTCCCTGCAGCACCATAAATCGAACGGCGGTATTGGTGTCCCCGATATCCGCAAATATTATTTCGCCACTAACGCTGCAGTGGTTGTGAGCTTTAACAACCAGGATGATAAACCCAGATGGATGGAGATAGAGGAATCAAAAATTTCACCGGTTAGACTATCAGAACTACCTTGGTTAAATCCTAAGAAAAGACCTGGAATTACAAAATTATTTTTATCCACCAGGACTACGCTTAAGGCCTGGGACATTGTTTTTAAAAATGACCAGTCTCCCAGTTTATATAGAGCAATGCCTATTGAGTTATTGAAAGATTATATACCATCCTTAAAAATAGAATTATTGAAGGATTGCTCTATAACTAATCTGGACAATTTTTTTTATGGCAATGCTATTCTTTCTTTGGAAAAATTGAAGCTTAAGTATGGATTGTCAAATGCATGTGAACTGGAATGTATGATAATCATTGATAAATTGAAAGAACTATACCAGGTACCTGAAACAGATAAAAATTATAAATCACTTGAGATATCTCCTTTAGAGAAAGTTATTTTATACAGCCCCGCTAGTAAAGGTATGATATCCTTATGTTACTTATCTCATAATGCCAAGCCCTTAATTAAATTAAAACATATGCTGTCATGGGAGACGGAGTTGGGTGCCCAGTACGATTTAGAAGAATGGTTCGTTTTTTTTTACAGGTTTAAAAGGTATTTCGTATTGCACCGACCATTTTGAAAATCATTATAAAATCTTATATCGCTGGTACCTGGCTCCGTCTAGATTACATAACATGAACAATATGTATTCTGACCGGTGTTGGAGAGACTGTGGGGGAGTGGGCAATATGGCCCATATCTGGTGGTTCTGCCCCAAGTTAATTAATTATTGGAAAATGATCCACGATCTGATTATTAAAGTGAACGGAACCATTAGTATCTTAACCTCGGAACTAGCCTTATTTAAAAAACTCCCGGAGTCTGTTAATAGATCAGATAAAATAATCATAGGCCACATTCTGATCGCTGCTACATCCTGTTTACCTAGACATTGGAAGTCTCAAAATGTGCCATCTCTCAGAGAAGTTTTTAATTTGATTTTAGAAAATAAGGCACACGAATTATCACACAGAGCCAATATGCATGGTTTCCCAATACTAAAATACAACTGGGATAAATGGGAAGAAAAAATCAAAACAATTTATGGTCTTTGATATATTTATTGTTAAAGTGCATTGTTGTACAGACGTTTTTCTTTTTGCCGTATACTTTAATATGTTTATTTCATTGATGGATGGATACCCCTTCCCATTTCCATGTTACCCCTCCTTTCCTACCCCTAATACAATGTTTGTATTATTATCATTTGTTATACAAAAAAACTTTAATAAAAATTATTTGAAAAGAGATAACAGCGATCACAAACTCACAGAGAGAGATAACAGCGATCACAAACTCTGAGAGAGATAACAGCGATCACAAACTCACAGAGAGAGATAACAGCGATCACAAACCCACACAGAGAGATAACAGCGATCACAAACTCACAGAGAGAGATAACAGCGATCACAAACTCACAGAGAGAGATAACAGCGATCACAAACCCACAGAGAGAGATAACAGCGATCACAAACCCACAGAGAGAGATAACAGCGATCACAAACTCACAGAGAGAGATAACAGCGATCACAAACCCACAGAGAGAGATAACAGCGATCACAAACTCACAGAGAGAGATAACAGCGATCACAAACCCACAGAGAGAGATAACAGCGATCACAAACTCAGAGAGAGATAACAGCGATCACAAACTCACAGAGAGAGATAACAGCGATCACAAACCCACAGAGAGAGATAACAGCGATCACAAACTCTGAGAGAGAGATAACAACGATCACAAACTCACAGAGAGAGATAACAGCGATCACAAACCCACAGAGAGAGATAACAACGATCACAAACGTGTCTGTCTGTCTATCATCTATCTATACAGTATCTATCTAAAAGTATTTGATTCCCTGCTGATTTTGAACGTTTTCCCACTGACAAAGAAATGATGAGTCTATAATTTTAATGGTAGGTGTATTTTAACAGTGAGAACGAATAACGACGACAACTTTAAAAAATCCAGAAAAAAGCATTAAAAAAAGTTATAAATTGATTTGCATGTCAATGAGTGAAATAAGTATTTGACTCCTTCGACTTAGTACTTGGTGGCAAAAACCTTGTTGGCAATCACAGAGGTCAAACGTTTCTTGTAGTTGGCCCCCAGGTTTGCACACATCTCAGGAGGGATTTTGTCCCACTCCTATTTTCACATCCTCTCCAAGTCATTAAGGTTTCGAGGCTGACGTTTGGCAACTGAAACCTTCAGCTCCCTCCACAGATTTTCTATGGGATTAGTCAGTAAAAGGGGGATAAAACATTTTTTAGATACATAAATGAGAAAAGAAAAGTAAAACAAGGATTAGTTAGATTAAAAACAAAAGAAGGAAGGTATGTAGAAGAGGATAAAGGTCAGCTGACTGCCTCAATGAATATTTTTGTTCTGTATTTACAGATGAAAATGAAGGAAAGGGACCTCAGTTGAGAAAAAGGATAAATGAGCCATTTATTACACGTGAGTTTACAGAGGAAGAGGTTCTATTTCAACTGTCAAAAGTAAAGACAAATAAGTCAATGGGACCTGATGGAATACACCCAAAGTTATTAAAATAACTTAGCGGTGTACTAGCAAAACTATTAACAGATTTATTTAACCAATCATTGTTAAAGGACCACTATAGTGCCAGGGAAACATACTCGTTTTCCTGGCACTATAGTGCCCTGAGGGTGCCCCCACCCTCAGGGACCCCCTCCCGCCGGGCTCTGGAGAGAGGAAGGGGTTAAACACTTACCTTTCTCCAGCGCCGAGCGGGGACCTGTACTCCTTCTCTCCTCCTTGCTCGCGACGTCATCGGCTGAATGCGCACGCATTTACAATGCTTTCCTATGGACGCTTGCGTGCTCTCACTGTGATTTTCACAGTGAGAAGCACGCAAGCGCCTCTAGTGGCTGTCAATGAGACAGCCACTAGAGCTTAGCGATTAGCCCCATAATAAACATAGCAGTTTCTCTGGAAACTGCTGTTTAAAAAAAGTTAACCCAAATTCCAGCACGGAGCCACTTCATTAAGCTGAAGTAGTGCAGGTGCCTAGAAACAGGTCCTTTAACAGGAGTAGTCCCAGAAGATTGGAAGTTAGCGAATGTGCCCATTTTACAAGAAAGGTAATAGGAGGAGTCGGCAACTATAGGCCAGTAAGCCTTACTTCAGTAGTGGGGAAAGTGATGGAAACCATGTTAAAGGATAGGATTGATGAACATCTAAAAACACATGAATTTCAAGATCAGAGACAACATGGGTTTACTTCAGGGAGATCATGCCAAACTAATCTTATTGATTTTTTTTTTTTGATTGGGTAACTAAAATTATAGATCAGACTGGTGCAGTAGACATTGCTTACCTAGATTTCAGTAAGGCTTTTGACACTGTTGCACATAGAAGGCTTATCAATAAACTGCAATCTTTAAGTTTGGATTCCAATATTGTTGAATGGGTAAGGCAGTGGCTGAGTGACAGGCAACAGAAGGTTGTAGTCAACTGAGTATATTCGAAGCATGGGCTTGTCACCAGTGGGGTACCTCAGGGATCTGTACTTGGACCCATTCTCTTTAATATTTTTATTAGTGATATTGCAGAAGGTCTTGATGGTAAGGTATGTCTTTTTGCTGATGATACTAAGATATGTAACAGGGTTGATGTTCCAGGAGGGATAAGCCAAATGACAAATGATTTAGGTAAACTAGAAAAATGGTCAGAATTGTGGCAACTGACATTTAATGTGGATAAGTGCAAGATAATGCATCTTGGACGTAAAAACCCAAGGGCAGAGTACAGAATATTTGATAGAGTCCTAACCTCAACATATGAGGAAAGGGATTTAGGGGTGATTATTTCTGATGACTTAAAGGTAGGCAGACAATGTAATAGAGCAGCAGGAAATGCTAGCAGAATGCTTGGTTGTATAGGGAGAGGTATTAGCAGTAGAAAGAGGGAAGTGCTCATGCCATTGTACAGAACACTCGTGAGACCTCACTTGGAGTATTGTACACAGTACTGGAGACCGTATCTTCAGAAGGATATTGATACCTTAGAGAGGGTTCAGAGAAGGGCTACTAAACTGGTTCATGGATTGCAGGATAAAACTTACCAGGAAAGGTGAAAGGATCTTAACATGTATAGCTTGGAGGAAAGACGAGACAGGGGGGATATGATAGAAACATTTAAATACATAAAGGGAATCAACACAGTAAAGGAGGAGACTATATTTAAAAGAAGAAAAACTACCACAACAAGAGTACATAGTCTTAAATTAGAGGGACAAAGGTTTAAAAATAATATCAGGAAGTATTACTTTACTGAGAGGGTAGTGGATGCATGGAATAGCCTTCCAGCTGAAGTGGTAGAGGTTAACACAGTAAAGGAGTTTAAGCATGCGTGGGATAGGCATAAGGCTACCCTAGATTTAAGATAAGGCCAGGGACCAGTGGCGTACATACCGGGGTCGCAGGGGTTACGGCTGCGACCGGGCCCGGCCCACCAGGGGGCCCGGCCGCCCTGCGACCCGGTATGTACCCAGTGTGGCAAGCCTCTTCTCCTGGCTTGCCACACCGGGTACTGGTACACTGGTGTCACCGGGCGGGAGGGCTGGCTGGCAGGCGCACGAGGGAGCACTCTCCCCTGAGCGCTCTCTGACCAGCTCCCTCGCGCGCCGCGTACTGATGACGTCATATTCAGGCTCTGGCATCAGTAAGCAGCGCGCAAGGGAGCTGAACAGGCAACACCACTGGACCCCAGGGAATCCCCTCAGCTCTCCTAAAGGTAGGGAGGGGTGTGTGTGTGTGTGTGTGTGTTAGAGTGTGTGTGTATTAGAGTGTGTGTGTGTGTTAGTGTTAGAGTGTGTGTTAGTGTGTGTGTTAGAGTGTGTGTGTATGATAGTTTGTGTGTGTCAGTGAGTGTGTTAGTTTGTGTGTGTCAGTGAGTGTGTTACTGTGTGTGTGTGTTATTGAGTGTGTTAGTTTGTGTGTGTCTGTTAGTGTGTCTGTTTGGTGTCTGTTAGTGAGTGTGTGTTTTGTAAGTGAGTGTGTATGTGTCTGTCTGTCAGTGAGTGTGTATGTATGTCTGTCACTGAGTGTGTGTCTGTCAGTAAATGTGTGTGTCTGTTAGCTAGTGTGTATGCGTCTGTTCGTGAGAGTGTGTGTGTCTTCAGCACTTACCTTTCTCTAGCACCGGAAGCTCCTCTAGCGGCTGTCAATGAGACAGCCACTAGAGGCTGGATTAACCCTCAGTGAGTACCCTCTCTGAAACTGCTATGTTTTCAGCTACATGGTTAAAACTAGAGGGACCTGGCACCAAGACCACTTCATTGAGCTGATTTGATCTGGGTGTCTGTAGTGGTCCTTTAAGTGTATGTGTATCTGCATGCACTGGTGTACATACCGCGGTGGCAGGGGTCGCAGCCCTGCGACCAGGTACCCGCCGCCATGTGTTGCGGCCCTGGCCAGTGCAGAGTAAGCGCGTGGGGGGGGCCGGGGGGTCCACGGATCAGTTGAAATATTAGGCAGACTAGATGAGACGAATGGTTCTTATCTGCCATCACATTCTATGTTTCTATTAAAGGACCACTACAGGTACCCAGACCACTTGAGCACTTCAGCTCAATGAAGTGGTGTGGGTGCCAGGTCCCTCTAGTTTTAACCCTGCAGCTGAAAAAAAGAGAGAAACGGCTATGGTTTACACTGAGGGTTAATCCAGCCTCTAGTGGCTGTCTCACTGATGCTTCTGCGATTCTCAGTGTTAAAATCACAGTGAGAAGACGCTGGACGTACATAGGAAAGCATTGAGTAATACTTTCCTATGGGCGGTTTGAATGCGCGCGTAACGCTGCATTCGGCGCTGATGTCGGCAGGAGGAGGAGGTCACCAGAGGTCACCAAGGGAGTCCGGCGCTGGATTAAGGTAAGTGGCTGAAGGGGTTTTAGCCCCATCAGCCCAGCGGGAGGGGGGCCATGAGGGTGGGGGGGGACCTAATAACCCTATAGTGCCAGGAAAACGAGTTTGTATTGAGGTCTGGAGACTGGCTAGGCCACTCCAGGACCTTAATGTGCTTTTCAAACCACTCCTTTGTTGCCTTGGCTGTGTGTTTTGGGTCATTGTCATGCTGGGATACCCATTCATTACCCATTTTCAATGCATTGGCTGAGGGGAAGAGGTTCTCCCCCAAGATTTGATGGTACATGGCCCAGTCCATCGTCCCTTTGATGCCATGCAGTTGTCTTGTCCCCTTAGCAGAAGAACACCCCCAAAGCATAATGTTTCCACCTCCATGTTTGACAGCGGGGATGGTGTTCTTGGGGTCATAGGCAGCATTCCTCCTCGTCGAAACACCCTTTAAGAGGACATTCGATATGCCTGGTAGAGTTAGTTATGCTGGT